GCAACAGACTGTCATCGGTCCAATCAGCGCAGATTAGCTTCGCGCTAAGGAGGGGTTTGGGAACAAATGAATCCCTGAACGATTCATACAGGAGTCGCTGGGATAATTAGGTAAAAATAAATGCAGATTATAAGACCATGAAAGTGTTTTTTGACCTTGCATGCATATTAAACTGTTGTTGGAGACCCTTACAACCAAGATATGACCCTATTTCATGTATAATATGGGCTCTTTAAGAATCATAAGGTTAGAGACAGAAATAATTTTCAGCAGTGGCACATAGAATTGGTGTAGTTTTTATAATGTTTAAAAAGATTATTATTATTTTTTTAAATGCTGTTCTTTTTAACTTAACCAAAAATATATATGTAGAGTTCTGAAGGTTCATGTGACACTGAAGACACTTCAAACATCTGCAACAGCGTTATACACCGTCTACCAGTGTTTCTCAACCACATTTCTGGAGGACCACCAGCTCTGTACATTTTACATGCCTCCTTAACCAAACACACCAGATTCAGATCATCAGCCCATTAGAAGAGACTGACAGAAATGTAGTGTGTGACAGAAAGTATGCATTCAAAACATGCAGTGTTGGTGGTCTTCTGGGAACGTTGTTGAGAAACACTGCTGTATACAACTGCCTTTGAATCAAATTCTTGTCTGTATCCTACATTTACCTTAATTATTTCTTTAACAACAAATGGCATTAAGGATTTCAGAGCTCATGGTCATTTGCATGTTTTAATAGGAAGTGTATGTGACATATAATGTATTTTGCATTTTTATATGTGCCAGTTGAAATGTTGTCAGTGTCTTTTCTCTTTAGTCATTTGAAAATGTAAATACATCAGTTATATATTTTTTTAAACAACCATGCCAAATTATGATAATAAACATATTTAAATTCTAAATACATACAGTTGATGTCATAATAATTAGCGTCCCTTTAATTTTTATCTTTTTTATATATTTCACAAATTGTTTAACAGAGCAAGGAAATTTGTACAGTATGTCTGATAATATTTTTTCTGATGAAAGTCTTATTTGATTTGTATTTTGGCTAGAGTAATTTTTTTTTTTCTACTAGCCCCTTTAAGCTATATTTTTCGATAGTCTACAGAACTTGCCTAAATACCCTAACCTGCCTAGTTAAAGTTAAGCCTTTAAATGTCACTTTAAGCTGTATAGAAGTGTCTTGAAAAACATCTAGTCAAATATCATGTACTGTCATCATGGCAAAGATAAAATAAATCAGTGATTAGAAATGTGTTGGAAAAAAATCTCTCCGTTAAACAGAAATAATAAACAGGGGGCTAATAATTCTGACTTCAACTGTATATGCAAATGTTCACCCACAATTGTACAGCTACTCCATCATAAACCTCGATGAATAATTAATACATGCACATATTCACAAGAATCCATTCAAGCATCTGCATATATACATAGAAAGAAAGGATAAAGAAAATATGAACACCAATACATACCCAATTATGAAAATGTGTATTTTGCATGCATTGCTATGCTTCATGAAATCTTCACACCATTCACTTGTCATCGGTCAGTCTCCAGATCAGTTCATATCTTAATGTAGATCTCCTTTATTATGCAATGTTTGTTTATAAGAAGCTGATGTGTTCTAATTGGGAGATAAATGTAGAATTATACATCACATCAGGACCATCCTGTTTATCAACTGCCAGAAGCACAATGTACTGTACTCTAGCATGAAAGTCTTGCTTTTCAGCTACAGGGCTAATTGTTTAAATAAGAACTTGCTATTCTCAGAAATACTCATACAAAAAGTTTTTTGATGTCTGTGAAACCTATAGTGTTGTGGAAAAGACACTCGCTTTATTTTAATTTAAGAAACATTTGCCCTGTTTAAGGAATAGCTCATCACAAATGATAGTTCTGCCATAATTTACCCGTACTCCAGAGTTTCACAAATGAATGTGTCCTGAAGAACACTGGAAAGCAGTTGAGACTTCTTCTGAGTCTGTTGCTCACTTATTTTGAGAATGTCCATTTGTTAAATCTTTCTGGTCTGTTGTGAATAATCCACATCAAAAGGTTTATGGTTGTTTTTCTTTAAGCTATGGACATTATTTTGGGATTTTACATTAAAGAAAAACAATTCCTTAAAGTTTTTGTGTAAACCTAATCATTATTATTATTTGGCAAGTTTTTTTTATACTTACATGTGCTAAAAGTAAACCAATTTTTGTATTTTTAAAAACAGAATAAATACTATTTCAGATCCTCATAACAAGAAAGCTTCTAAAATGTGCTTTATTTAATATTATACATTTATTTTTGTTGTGTTTTTTTCATGTGCCCTCTCCTTTTTATTAATTTATTATTTTATTTTTTCTTTCTCTTTGACATACCATTGTAATACTTTATAATTGGTCATTCTCTGTTTGTGTTAAAAGTAATATTTGCATTGTATGTATTGTTCATTTCATTGTAATTTCCGGTTATTGCAATAAAAAAAAAAAAAACGTTTGGAAGCAACAACCATTGACTTTCATAGTATATTTTTAATATGGATATCAATGTCTGCTGGTTTCCAACTTTCCATATAACATCTTGTTTTGTGTTAAAATGAAGAAATTAAAGGACCATGTGAGTAAATTTTCATTTTGTCTAAAATACTGTATTAAGCATTGTTGTTTAATTGGCAAACAACTAGTTGCAGTAGCTTTTAGACTGGCATGCTTTATTCTGTTGTTTTTGCTACATGATCCGTGAGCTTGCATTGTTCTTGGAAAGTACCTAAGTTACGTTTAACGAACTGCAAGCAGTCTTATGGCAGCTGTAACTAAGGATTGGACTGAACCACTTTAATCATTGGACACAATAATTCTTGTTGTAAATAAATGTAAGAATAAAATGCAATTCTTATTTTGTAACATTTATGATTTACCCCAATCTAGCATAAATGTTACATTTAGTAGACTTCTTAATTCTACTTTTTATATTGGGGAAATGTCACAAAACTCTTTTTTTCCCTTCTTTTTCTTGGAAGTTGATTCAGTTTTTACTGAGATATTTTGAGAAAACTACTTTTATGAAGTGACTTGTCTGTTTGAATCTTCAACAAGACTCCTGGACCCCAATACTTAGAAAAAATAAATCAAGGTCAACTGGGTGAAAGCAATTAATATCGAAATGTACAAATTAAATAGTATGTTAGCTAACAATTCAAATATGGTTGAATATCTAGAATTGGTTCTGTCCTTCAGCTGTTGACTAAATGATTGCAATTATAAATGTGAGTTACAGTTGATTGTAATAAACAATTGTGAATGCAAACACAGTTTTCTTTGCATTTTTGACATCAAAACCATCTTGTTGATGAAGACTAATGTGTTAAACATGCCAGGTGATCATGCCAGGCCGGTAGATGGTGGTTTCACTTTAAGCTCAAGTTGATTTAAGTACTTGCTTATGCATATCCGAGTTTAAATGAAAATATAAATATATACAGTTGATGACAGAATTATTAGCCCCCCTGAATTATTAGACCGCTTGTTTATTTTTTTCCTAATTTCTGTTTAGCAGAGAGCAGATTTTTTCAACACTTTTCTAAACATGATAGTTTTAATAACTGATTTATTTTATCTTTGTCATAATGACAGTAATTAATATTTTACTAGGTCTTTTTCAAGACACTTCTATACTGCTTAAAGTGACATTTAAAGGCTTAACTAGGTTAATTAGGTTAACTACAGGTTAGGGTAATTAGGCAAGTTATTGTACAATGATGGTTTGTTCGGTAGATTATCGAGAAAAAATATAGCTTAAAGGTGCTAAAAATTTTGTCCCTAAAATGGTGTTAAAAAAATTAAAAACTGCATTTATTCTAGCCAAAATAAAACAAATAAGACTTTCTTCAGAAGAAAAAATATTATCAGAGATACTGTGAAAATTTCCTTGCTCTGATAAACATCATTTAGGAAATATTTAAAAAAGAAGAAACATTTTTTGAAGGGGGCTAATAATTCTGACTTCAACTATATATATATATATTTGACTGTTTTAAGATGTACCTGTTCAGGGACTGCATGTGGAAAATAGCAACTTTGCTAAATCTTTCCTTTTCAAGTTTCCTTTTTGATGTTCCTCTCAAATAAATAAATCTAAATTCAAATTTCATAGACCAAACATGTAAAAAACAAACAAAGTTTTCACTAAATCTTTTGTAATTTTGCACAGAGAGAATTACAGTATCATTTTTAAAAATACTGACAGAAAAAAATATTTAAAAAGCTGTGATTTGCATGACAGCCCAGTTGTTGGGGTTGCATCTTTCTAAAGAACACTATATTTATCTATTGGAAAGTAAATAGAGTCAAAATGCATATATATATATATATATATATATATATATATATATATATATATATATATATATATATATATATATATATATATATATCATGCACCACCTGGCAACATATCAAAATACACTGTCGAATCAGTACTTAAATTGTGATGATGTGTTTTGCACAGATAATCAACACCTCATTTACATTTATATAATCCACGAGCTGGTGGTGCAACTGGTCAAGACTTTGAGGTTTGAGATTTAGCTGGTACAGTGGCCTTTTTGCCCAGGATAAGGATGATATGGTGCAGCAGAGTTTGCTTTTCCAACGTATAACGATGACTTATGTTCAAGAAACTATAGTATGTATTTGTGTATGATCTCAGTGACAAGGTAATGAAACAACCCTAAACATCTGCATTTGATTTTACTGTACACAGTAGCAAGGTTAATCTTTCAGCGCGCTCCAGCAGGCGCGCGTCCGCGTGTATTTTCAGCCTCATTCACATTCCTTTCCAGTCTCCACAGCCCTCTCGTTTCAGCAGCAGCAGTGCGAGTTTGGTGGTGTTACGAAACCACTGTTTGTCTGCGCTGGACATTTTGGCGCACTGTGTCTTTAAACTGTGGCGGCGGCCCTGCGTCTGCAACCAGGAAACCCCGTAGCGGCTTTCTGAGGGGACCCAAGATGGCCGAATCTTCACAGTGGGGCTAATAATTACTTTTCGTCAAGACGCTGCTATTTCATGGTGCTCGACGCTCGCGCTGGCCATTCGTCGTTCCGGAAAGCAAAACAAGTGACTCTGTTCAAGTAGTTGCATCGGGGAATGTTTATTTATGCGTGAAGAGACTGGCTGGTCCAACCGCGGCCCTTAGCCAGAATATGGCGGAATACCTGGAGAAAATATAGCTTAGCTTATTATGAACGCGCCGCTTTATACACGACTCTTCCCGCCTTTTCACCGACCTCGCGTGAGTATAATGATTAAATAGCGTTATCGGTACGTCTCTGAAATTCATTCGCGTGTGTTTTGCGCAATTCTGTGTTAAAATGACTCTCGAGAGGAGATAGCCTGCTAGCTGAGGCGCTAGCTACGCTAACCCCGTTTGACTGAATTAGTCGCAGCGTTAGCTTAGCCTAGCTAGCTTAAAGTAAGGGGGCACGAAGAAGAGCAAACACTTTCTTCATCCGCGCTCTGGCTGCATGCTTTTAAACTCATCTCACTCTTATTTTTCGTGCTTCTGTTTATAGAGAGTTTAAAATACCGGGTATGTTGTGGGGAGTCTCGGCTGCACACAGCAGCTAGCTGACCATCACTGGACTGGTCAGAATAATTGTGTGGACAGCGCAAGTTTACTGCGAGAGACTCCACAACAACACACTGCTTCAGCTCCTCGCCCGCGAACGCCGTACATTTCAGTTTGAAGTTGACATCAGATTCTGTTGCATCTCGAGGACTTTGAGATTTATTGAATCAAGGGCAAAAGCCTATCCGAGAGTTACTTGCAAGGATGACTGACACTCGTAGACGAGTAAAAGTGTACACTCTGAATGAGGACCGCCAGTGGGACGATCGGGGAACGGGACATGTGTCATCCGCCTACGTGGAGAGGCTCAAAGGCATGTCTCTCCTGGTGCGCGCCGAAAGCGATGGTAGGTTTCAAAACACTGGAAGATGATGAACAGGTTTGCTTTTCATTGACTGATCAAGCACGTTAACATGAGGCCGTTCTTTATGACAGGGTCACTGCTGCTGGAGTCCAAAATCAATCCTAACACCGCCTATCAAAAACAGCAGGTGCGTTGCACTCTTTTGTGAACTCACAATGCATAGTTAGCCTGAGTGCTTCTAAATGTTTTGGTGCAACACATATTTCATAAAGACAAGACACAACAGGTGAATATGGTAAGAATTTAAACTAATAAATTAGTTTGCATGACTGCATTCCTTTTTATATCGTATTCGAAACAAACTTATATATTTTAATCTACATCAGTGATGATTAAATCAGCACTGCATACTACTTTGTGTGTGTGTATATATATATATATATATATATATATATATATATATATATATATATATATATAACATTTACATTTTTAGCTGCTTAGTGTAAATCTAAAGTTACTTTTGTCTTGCATTAAAATCATTATTAAGGTTTCTCTTGTTTAAATTGTGGCTAAGAAAAGATTATATTTCACAGCAAAAAATGTGTACAGTGACCTGAGTCACCTTGCAGTGGATATTTTAAAATTATGCTAAAAAGCTGTTGAGTGGGAAAAGGTATATGAGCAATTTCAGCGTTTGTTTAAAAACTCAAAACATAAATTCACATATAAAGAAGAATGTTAACATTATTTTGAAACAGCTGTTTATATTTTCCAGAACAACTGACCACCGAGTTAAGGGATCAGAAAAATATCAATCTGTAAACTTGTTTTGTACTTTAAATGAGGAAAATAAACTTGTGTTATGGATGTGATGAAAAAGTATTCGAGTATATAACATACTTTGTAGAAATTCTGTGAATTAAACTGAACAACCTGAAAGAAACAACAATAATCAAAAGAATAGGAGTTGTCTCTCTATAGAATAAAATGTATTGATTTTATTTTATTTTATATTTTTGCATTTTTTTTAGCATAAGGAAAAAAAAAGTTCCGTTATGGATGTGACTGATGCAATTGCCACTTGTGTGACTCTGGTAAATCAAATATAATAGTTTAAAACACTGACAGAGACCTTTGAGTCTTTCTAAAGTACTGTAAAATACTTGCTTACACAAACTTAGAAACAGTTTCTGTATTTTGGTTACAGATGGTTGAAGTCATGTAATTAGTTTAATCAGCAAAACTTTGATAATTTTTTAGAGGTCTTCATAGATCAAGTGTGACACAGTAGGGTTACAGGGTTAAAACTGTTGTATTATTACAAGTATTCTGAAATCCAACTCTTAAACCCAAATATACACAAATTAAGAATGTGAGTTTGAACTCTGGGTAAAACCAGGCTCAAAATGATATTTTGCACACTAGGTTTGCACAAGCTGATTATTCAGATTAATATCTGCCAATACCAACAGTTTGGTGGTTTTGGCATTTATATTTTTCTAGAAGACAAAATCTTGTTTTGTAATATTATATGTATATGTTATAAGCAGAGAATGCATTGCTGAAGGTATCATTTTCAACGTAACCCATTAACAAAATTCTAAACATTTATATTATTCATATTAACAATGACTGAACTTTAATATAATTGGCCCTAGTCTAACATTTTTTTAAACGATCATAGCTAATAGCACAGAAAAATGCTTTTTATTGTCTGATGCAAATGTTTCACCAAAATACTGATTCAGCTCCATTTTATTTTGCTCCAAAAATAATAAAATTTTAATATAAAAAAAAAGGATTAGTTTTTGTTTTCAAAATAAGTATGTAATTTCTGTGTTAGTGTACAAGATGACATGTTATCAAACCCAAACTTCTCAATGTTTATTGTTCAAGTGAATTCGCCTGTAGTGTGTTGCTATAAACTCAAAATCTCTACATGTTAGTAATTGTGATTTGATTCAAGGACATGTTGTTTTTGTTCTCTGGGCATTTGTTGTTGATATTTGTGTTTTTCTTTGAAGGACACATTAATAGTTTGGTCTGAGGCTGAAAACTATGACCTGGCCCTCAGCTTCCAGGAAAAGGCTGGTTGTGATGAGATCTGGGAGAAAATATGTCAGGTAATTGTCAGTGGTCATGATGTACTTCAATAATATATCTTTTTAAAGTTTATTTTGTTCTAATTTTGCATGTTGGCGTAGTCCTCTATTTAGAACGCCCTTGTTTATGTTTACAGGTCCAGGGAAAGGACCCATCGGTAGACATCACCCAGGAGCTGATAGATGAGTCTGAGGAGGAGCGTTTTGATGACATGTCCTCTCCTGGTCTTGAACTTCCTCCATGTGAACTCTCCCGATTGGAGGAGGTGGCCGAGCTGGTGGCGTCATCCTTGCCTTCTCCGCTACGGCGGGAAAAGCTGGCCCTGGCGCTGGAGAACGAGGGCTACATCCGCAAGCTGCTGGAGCTTTTCCGCGTCTGCGAGGACTTAGAAAACAGAGAAGGTCTGCATCACCTCTATGACATCATCAAAGGCATTTTCCTACTCAATCGCACGGCGCTCTTTGAAGTCATGTTCTCTGAAGAATGCATCATGGATGTGATTGGCTGTCTGGAGTTTGATCCATCGCTACCCCAACCACGGAGGCATCGGGAGTTCCTGACCACCACTGCACGCTTTAAAGAGGTCATTCCCATTTCGGACCCAGAGCTGCGGCAGAAGATCCACCAGACGTACCGGGTGCAGTATATTCAGGACATGGTGCTGCCCACTCCATCGGTCTTTGAAGAAAACATGCTTTCCACCCTCCACTCCTTCATCTTCTTCAACAAAGTGGAGATTGTTGGCATGCTGCAGGTGGGTTTTCATGTGTCTCTGTTCAGTCATGAACTTTGCACCATTGGTGGTTTTGTTAACAAGCTATAGATTAACTCTTCACACAGTCTTCTAACAATGTGGCTCAGGTAATGTTTACTATCAAGCTTGCTGTGTCATTGTCCCACCGTTCTCAGAGCAGCAACTTCCGGCTCAAATTTACTACATCCTCAGCAGAAAGCCTTGTTTGCTGAGAATGCACTGAATAAGTTTGCATGTTTGTGATGCTGATAGGAATATTCCCGTTTGCTTTAGCAGGGACAGCTTTGTTGCGCTTTGTAGGGTGGTTGTACTTTGGTTCTTTTTGTGAAGGTCATGTCCATGTTTTAAAAAAAAACGCACTCTAAAAAGGGTTTTTCAAGTGCATGTATTTGTAATAGATTCGATTTTTAATTAATTTAAAACCATCGTTTTATGCACCCTTTTCACAAGCCTGTTATGACGAATTTAACGGTCATCAGCATATTAATTCCTTCAAAGTTTTGAATATTTTTATACCAAAAAAACCCGTATGAAAATTTTTATGTATTTATGTATGTATTATATTTTCTTTGCTTCTAATTACAAAAAACTAATTACTGCTTCTGCGAGGTGTTTGTAATGCAGCATCTATGGGACAGGACAGCAAACTTGACGTTATTCTCTCCTCTTGCAGCCTTCATCAGTCTCACTCTATTTTTTTCCTTTTTCATAAAGTCTTTATCACGTCATAGTGGAGGTTTTCTTTTATTATTTGATCAAATAAGACTGTAAAAAAATGATTTGTTGTATTCTCCATTCACTGCGCTTTAAGTTTTCCCAACTATGACGACTTCCGATACTGAGAAACCTGGAAATGTGAAAAGGGTCTATTTGGGTATAGAATGAAAAGAGATATTGCAAACAAATGTTAGGTTTATTAAGTTATTCTGAGTTGTATAGTACAGGATTCCCGGTCAGCACCCTATTAGTAGCTCATATGTATGCTACATACATAGTCTAGCATTATTATTATCTTTTGTCATTGATAAATGCACATCTGCTTGCGGTGACAGTAGAAGCTTCTTGAACTTGATATGGAGGGTACAGTTATTAATAAGTTATTCAGATAGAACAGATTGTTCATTAGCAAAAATAGTAACATCTAGGACTGGGCGATTAATTGAACATTTTACTTTTGTTTAATAAATGATTATTTAATTTTATTAGAAATTTTTTGCCCTCATAGATCACTGACAGGTTTTTTTTTTTTTTTTTACAGTAAATAAGCTCACATATTTTAAGTGAAAGATATTTGAATGAAGGGTGCATTGCTTAATTTTAAAATAATTGAAGCAAATACACACTATCTACTCTCTATGATTATTTATTGAACATCAACGTTGAACCACTAAAATTAAAACACACTCTGCCTAAAACCAACTTTTTCTTATAAAAAGTGAAAACAAATAACTTGCACTTTTGGAAACAATTATTTTCATTGTTTTCAATAGTAGAAAATTAGCAGTATCTATTTTAAATAAAACAACTCTCGTATATCCTGTAAATAATATTTTAAACAGTGCATTTCTTAAACCTTCTGTAAACAAATATTTTTATGCAAATAATTTATTTTTTTTTTAATAGAAAATATGCAGCCTCAAGGCATCTCTGGTGCAGCTTCCAGTGATCATCAATGGAGTGCATGTGATGTGTAGTTAAATTTTTTTTGAGAGTTGATCGGGTATGCAACTGTGCAAAGGCTGCACCGGACCATTCCCGCGCGTTCAATGCAGAAATATCAATCAACACAACCAAGCGGGGTCACGTGACTTAACACGCATTAGAGAAAGTAATTGATAAAACTGAACTGGAAAAATTAGATCGATTATAGGTTCCCTCCGATTATAGGTTTATAGTTTTGATTAATCACCCAGCCTAGTGACATCGGTAATAACTAAGAACCTTGTTTTTTCATGATCAGTGATCACAATAGGTAGAGTTCCTCAATGTCATAGTACAAAGTTGCCTAGAAATATATTTTCATCATTTCATCGTCTATGAAATACGTAATCATAAATTAGTGATACTATAACAAACTAAAATATTTATATTACCTGGCATAATAAACAGGAATGCAATGACATACATTTATGTGTTTTAACACATAAATGGCAACTCCTATCAGTAAGGCACCTTAATAGTGAGACCTGTGTGATAATGACATTGCACTGAAAGAAAAATATTTTACAGAATACAATCATTTAGTTGGAGTTTGTAGCCCTGTAGTAGACCTTAATGACATAAGTGAGAATAAAATGAGCAAGTGACACTCTTTTTAGATTATAGGCCTATAGTTGTTTATCAAAATCTGTACCATCCAGAAAAATGTTCTTGGTGTATCCTGAATTTAATTTTAATCACTTAGCAGTAAATTAGTAATAGTATTTGTCTCCAGTTTTCAGAATAACATTATAACCAGTGTAATTAAATTGTTTTTACTACAGCAGGACCTAGTCAAACATCATAAACCTTTTTATCATATAGCTAGATTGTAGCCCAGCTGTGTGTTAAATTCTATAAATAGATAGTTTGTGGTTGTGGTGTGATATGTGCATTTCTCACTTGAGCCTTACAGTGGAGTTGTTTGATTCTTGTATTGGAGTTGGGGAGGGGGGCTTGTTTCCATGGAAACAGCACCATCATGTTCTTTAGAGCCATATCATGTGATGTCACAAACGCTTGGCAGTCATGCTGGCTGATCATTCTCTCCAACATCCAGCCAGCCGCAATTCATGATACTTGTTTTGTCCATCCTAACAAATGAATATGCATATCATTTCAAACTATTGGTTTAAAATGAGCATTTCGCCTATATGGTCTGAATGCTGTCTAGTAGATGCTGAATAAATAAATCCTAGATCCTAAACGCTATTTCATATGATTGTGTGAGTAATTAGATGTACTTTCTATGACAGTGTGATTGCAAATAATGTTTTCATTCACTTTAGTGCTTCCTCTTTTTTTGTGTTATGTTTGAGACAAAGTGTTACTGTAAGATACACTATCAGTCACATGTCAAGCCTTGGTGTCGATGAGAATTCATCAAATATATGTCAAACATTCAGCTAGAGGTCAAATTTCAAACAGCTTTGAGCCTCTTTATGATTTACAGCTTTATGGTGAGCTCAAAGGAGTTTAGTAGAATGTAAATAGACAGCTATAAATTAATATTTATCATGTAACCGGTTTATATCAGGCAGATTTCAAAATGTTTGTAATGTGCAACATGCAGCTTATATAAAAAAGTGTTTATCATGAAATGAGCTGTTGATGTTGTGAATAATATATAGTATAATATTATAACGTATCAAAAAGTAAACAAACAAATGACTTAAGTTATTTTAGGTAAAACTGCATAGATTCCTATTATTATTAGTTTACTATTCTTATTGTTTACTAAATATTTACTATTAGAATTATTTATTTATTAGTGACAGTGAATTTGTAATTCGTTTAAACCCTTGCACAGCACTGTTTGTTAGTGTTAACAAAACTAACTTTCAGTATTTCCACCGAAACTAAAAAATTAGACTAGTTCTTATTTATTGGATATAGATGCAAAAAAGCACTCGCATTTTTTTTGTAGTGAGCACAAATTGTTAAAACTGAATTTTCATAAACATATTGGACGTTAATAGACAAATGCATTTTCCAGTATTATAAAGTATCCTTGTAAACAGGATAAGTGGTTGACATAATTATGTATATCAATCAATTGGGTCCCTCTCTTAAGGCTGAGTTATACAGTGCAGCCTTCACTTGGTCACATAGTCCTCGCTGTGGCTGACACCGATGCGTACCTCAAAACATGCAAGCGCAAGCTCTGTGATTGGTCTGCTTGGCATCACTGTTGAGTGTGAACAGGGGGTGAGAGCCACGCAAACTAGTTGGAGTGATTGTTTACAAGTGCCGATTCCTGTGAAGGAGCTCCAGATAGAAACTTTTTGTTTTGTGTTTAATTTATGATTCAGGTTGTTGCATGTCTGCCGCTTCTCACTTCTAAACGAGTGAGTTTTAGCCACTTGTACATTAAGTTAGCGTTCAGAAACAACAAAACACTCGTGAAGAAACTTGACACAGAGGAACATGAAAACCTCACTGCCACTGTCGGAAGTTTTATTGCAGAGCTACACAAACAGCACGCAGAAATATAAATGCACTACATGCAAAGCAGGCGCAGTGGGTCAAGCTGGTCACTCAACGCAGAAGTATAAACCAGCTTTTAAGCCTGGGACAAAATAAGCTGTCGTCAAAGAACTAGTGTTTACAAAAATTTGACTGTTTTCGCCTCTATTTGATTGTGTCTGGTCCTGTATCGACTAAAAAGGTGTTTGATGCACCAAATGAAACTATGTTCTTATCAGAAACCAATAAACACAATCATCACAAGCGTGACATTATTAGATTTTAGCAAATGTGTCCTTGTTGATTATTAGTGTCATGTTGATCAGACCTGAAGCCACGCCGCACTCCTCTGAACAAAACACTTTCACCGCACCGAAACAAACACTTGCGTCCCGCCTGAAAGGACCTTAATAATGTCCTTGTTTCTTCTGTGCTTAGATAAATGTCATTTAATTTGCTGTTATCTATTTATTTTTTACATCCATCCATCTTGCGGGAGTCCCAGAGATAACCACCTCACCATCAAATCTTATCCTGCGCTGCACTGTTGCTTTGAGTCTTATGTATGAAATAATTTGAGTCTCAGCATCTATTTAGCTGAAAGAGCATGGTGATTTGCATTGATTTGAGTTCTTTTCCAAAATAAAGCATAATGAAAATGGAAGTAGATGTTTAAATAAATGAAAAAATATTCTAAAGTGTGTTAAATGTGTCTAGAGAACTTATTAAATAAATGAGCAAATAAGTAAACATAACACTGCAGCGCCTCCCATGTGATAATATTGTGTATTAGTGATCTCAAAGGGAGATAATATGGCAATCAGATTTTTTTTTACATCACGCAACACTAAACCAAAAAGCATTAATTGAAAGAAATTTAAACTAATCTTACACAAACCAAAAAAGTGAGATTTGTAAGGACATTATGCAGCACATAAATATTTAGTAGTGTGTATGTTGTAACTTGGCTACGTTTTAACTTGCAACAAGTGCCTTATATTTTACTTGTTTAAAGATGCATAATGTAACCTTTTAAAATGAATGTAGTAACCAGAGCTCTCTTTCTTGTTGTTTTCAGGATGATGAGAAGTTTTTGACTGAGCTCTTTGCGCAGCTAACTGATGAAGCCACAGATGACGACAAACGGCACGAATTGGTAATAAAAGCAGTCTTACTAATGAATACATTAACGTTTTATTCAAGACAGTGAATACATACAAAACTAATATTGTGCGTCACATCTAGGTAAACTTCCTGAAGGAGTTTTGTGCGTTTTCACAAACGTTACAACCACAGAACAGAGATGCGTTCTTTAAAACCCTTTCCAACATGGGAATCCTGCAAGCGCTGGAAGTTATTCTTGTAAGATATTCTTGCCTTTTCAAAGTGTCAGTCAGTTGATGATTTCTTTTTGTAATTTTAACATCTTTACTAATGACCTTTCTTATTGTGAGGATTCTTAAAAGATTCTGACTGGTTTGAAGATTCCTTTCAATAAGTCAGAATTTGAGCTAATTTTAGGTTTATTTAGTAACATGTATATTTCTGTGTTAAGGGCATGGATGATGTGCAAGTGCGTGGAGCAGCCACTGATATCTTCTCCTACCTGGTGGAGTACAACCCTTCTATGGTGCGAGAGTTTGTCATGCAGGAGTCACAGCAGAATGATGATGTAAGTCCCACGCGTTCATTGACCGGTGTTGTCATTCTCGCTACCTGTGTTTCTTACAGTGTGTGTCTATTTTTCAGGACATTCTGTTGATAAATCTGATCATTGAGCATATGATCTGTGACACGGATCCTGAGTTGGGGGGAGCTGTTCAGCTTATGGGTTTGCTCAGGACGCTAGTGGACCCAGAGAACATGCTAGCAACTGCTAATGTGAGGCTTTTTTATTTATATTTAAATGAAGAAATTGCAGGTTGAATAAAATTATTATTACTAGGGATGCACAATACATCGTGGCCAAATCGTTATCGGCCGATAAATGCTATTTTTAAGATTATCGTTATCGATCCGATGTTTAAGTTAGGCTGATATCTTTAAGCCGATAAATTACTTAATTGTACAGACCTGCCTGCCTCACACGCGTGGGCGGAACATGTTCAGACTTGTCCGGTGCACTATAATGGAGCTCTCCTCACACTGTTTATTCCTTCAAAGTCTGTCCTTTCATTATGTGGTATTGTTGTGCGTTAATACTCAGTAAGTAACCATGTTCCTCTTCATTGTAGATATGTTTGATTGAGTGTTATTGTGTATTTTGCTTTAAATCGCCTCAGGAAAAATATTACATGTGTAAACCTTTTCTGCTCTCTCTCTTTGTTGTGTTAGAGATAGCAGGAGAGATCCACTTATTACTCCAGGGCCGAATAATATTAGTTTCGGGATTAACTCCCTTCTCTTTTCGTTGCAGCTGGTGAATGAACAAGAAAACATGTAACTTAGTCTAAATTATTTTTTTACTTGCCGTGTTTTACAACAAATCAGTCACACACATGCCAAATTGAAGCCCAGTCCCTTAAAGGACCTGCACATTTAACAACACGTGTAAACATAACGGTTGTTTGTAATTTAATATGATTATTTGTTTTTATCAACGCGTTGGTTGGCATATGTTGTTGATGTAAGATTGTATTCCATTTGATTGGAATATTCATATTGATTATAACAAGTGCGCGTGAGAGCAGTCCACCGCGCACACACACACACACACACACACACACACACACACACACACACACTGTAGCATGGGTGAGAGGTGAATCCAGTATATTATAGTTTATTGTACATTATACTTTTATAATGGCCATTACTGATCATTAAAACCAATATTCAGCAAAAGACAGTGTGTTTCGTATTTTGAATGAAAATGAAAGGAAGCATTAATTTTATAGAAATATACATTCAACGAACATGACAGTCATAAATATGCAGCTAAACGACGCCTCAACAATTTCTGCTGACTGTTAGTTAATCTCAAAATGAAAATAGGCAGTTCCTTATATCAAGTTTTCATTTTATTGGTAAGAAAGTAAAACAACGTAGCCAGGGTGATGTAAATGAGGTTATAAAGTATGCTGTTCCTTTGAAGATTTACCCGGAGTGTCCTCGGGAGTTTGTTTTCCATATCTAACCTGTGAAGTCTGAACTTGCTGGGAGAGGATGCAAGACTGAACTGTATGTAGGCTACTTAATATTAAGGAAAAAGCTCCCATCAGAGAGGTCTGCTGCTCTGCCCTTGTTTTCAGATGTCTTCGCTTTCCGCCATCCATACTAACACAGAGCAGCAGCATTTTAAAATGAAAACAGCCTCTTCAGCATTTTCAAATAGCTAAGTTTTTGGCGTTGAAAACTCTGGCATAGTTTGGACGGATGGCGCAACTGTAGAAAAACTTGTGTTTTCAAACTAAAACGAATAAGTGTAAACAGGGCCTTAGACTCGTTTTATGCTTGATATGCTGTAAAGTGTGAACACAGTGGTCAAACAGTGGTCACAGTGTCTGTCAATAACATGTTTACATGGGGGGAAAAAGACAAACAATGGAGACGATGAAAAAGGATTTGGAGAGTCAGTTTACAACTGTTTGATGTTATTCATTTGTGATCAAATTGAGAAAAGTGCTTCTCTGCCAGGTTTAAAGTGCTTATTCTATGGAATATTGTGCTTTGTTCCCTCTTTATTATTGCTGAATTTAAAGGGATCTGCTTTTACCAAGTTGTTTTATTTGTAATATTTTTAATCAGATAATTTAGCAATTTTAATTTAACATTACATTTTAAATTTAATACATTTCTATATCTAATTAATTGTTCAGATGTTCTGAACAAAGTTGTTTCTTGTCATATCACCCAGCTTTTTTGTTCTTTGTCAGATTGTAGAGAAACATTCTCTTTTTATTGAATTGTCTGGTTCCTTGCAGAAAACTGAGAAGACCGAGTTTTTGAGCTTCTTCTATAAGCATTGCATGCATGTGCTCTCCGCTCCACTTCTTGCCAACACCACTGAAGAAAAACCCAGCAAAGGTAATAACTTTTACTATCTTTTTGAGCATGTGTGTGTATGTGTACGCTTGTAGGATGCATGCAGGGTGAAAGTTTTGGCAGCTTTGTTTTGAAGCGTTCGTGTGACTATTTGCATACATATTAAAAAATGTAAGCTTTACAGACTTTTCACTGTGTTTGTTTGTCTTGTCAGATGATTTCCAGACATGTCAGCTGCTGGCTCTGATCGTAGAGCTGCTCACTTTCTGCGTGGAGCATCACACGTATCACATAAAGAACTACATCATCAACAAAGACATCCTGCGCAGAGTGCTGGTGCTCACTGCATCACAACATGCTTTCCTAGCCTTATGTGAGTAAATTCTCACTGCACAAATGATACCAATTTTATAATGAGCTAAAGCTTTATGATATCACATTTGAAATGAAAATATTCTGCAGAAAATATTGTATTTCCACTTGCTGTTGTCGGTTGCGAAGATGAGCTTTTGCTTTTTTTGCTTTGCTTAACACTATAGCAGTTTAGATGAACTCTTTCTTAAAGTATTAAAGTTATGAAGTCTAAGCTAAGTAGAACTGTACAAATGACAGGCCTTCATCATAGTTAGTTATGCTACTTTTCATGAGAACGTTTAAATCAATAACCCCAAACTCATTAAAGTTGATCCATTTGTATAATGAAAGGCTCTGTTTAGTGTTACACTGTTATTATAACACATGCCAGGTAATTCTGTTTTCAGGGCCAGCAGCATTATTAACAAGCATTTATTTATTTTGGACAAAGACCAAACACTCGGTGCTTTCAAACTGACAGACATCACTTATACCTTGGCTGCAAAATCTCATTGTACCTTTCCCACTTGTTTGTCATCCAGGTGCTTTGCGTTTCATGAGAAAAATCATTGGCCTGAAGGATGAGTTTTATAACCGATACATTATGAGGAACTTCCTGTTTGAGCCAGTGGTCAAAGCTTTCCTCAATAATGGATCCAGATACAACCTCATAAACTCAGCCATTATAGAGATGTTTGAGTATGTCAGAGTGGTGAGTACATGGTTTCACACATCCCTTCTCTCGATGCTCTTGTACACACTGCTAGGTTGATATGTTGTGTGTGTGTAGGAGGATGTGAAGTCACTGACGGCTCATATCATAGAGAACTACTGGAAGGGCCTGGAGGACGTAGACTATGTTCAGACGTTTAAAGGACTAAAGCTCCGATATGAACAGCAGAGAGAAAGACAGGACAACCCAAAACTTGACAGGTCAGTGGTCATCACATTTAGTAAAATCACCATTCACTCACTGATTATAACTTCACTGAAGTTACTTTAAGTTCAGTGTTTCTCAAACTTATTTCATCAAGTCCCACATCAGAAAGAAATAGTCTCAAGTACTACCATAATAACCAGTATTAAAATACAGTAGTGTGGTAGGCCTAATTAAGCAGCTATGCTCTGCAAAGTTAAAAAACGAGGCATATTAATTTGTATTAATAAGAATGTTTCTTAGTGTCAGCCACATTATACAACATTATAAATAGTTTGAACATTAATACAGTACTGTTTTTATAGGTTAAAAAAAACAAACAAAATGAATGTGTTTGTCAGAAAAGTAAGTGATCGCATGCAAAAAATACACAGCTTGACCAATTCATACATGATTTATTTATTCATACATACAAAATTTCTATGATTTGAGATCTCATCTTTTGTAGACAGAGTAAATGGGACCTTAGTCTCTGTGTGCAGTTAACCCAAACTTCACTAATACATTTTAGTTTTTAAAACACAAGTTTGGCTACAGTTTTTAAGCCCCGAAAACTGAGCTTTTTGAAAACGCTGAAGAGGCCATTTTCATTTTACAACACTGCTGCTCTTTGTCATTGTGGATGGGGGAAACTGAGACATCTTAAACGGAGGCATGGCTGCAGACGTTCGCAATCTGATTAAGGCTTTTTCTTAATATTAAGTGCATAAAGTTCAGTTTTGCATCTTTTCCTTAAGATCCGACTTTGCAAGTTTGATATGGAAAATAAACTCCCAAGGACATGTCGGGTGTACCTTCAAGGAAAAGTGTAGTTTATAACGTCATTCACATCACTCTGGCTACGCTGTTTCACTATCTTAATAATAACAATCAAATGAAAACATGATCTAAGGAACTGCCTACTTTCATTTTGATATTAACAACTTAACAGATGCCAAAAATGTAAGGCATCATGTAGCTACATATTTATGTCATATTCACTGTATGCATATTTATAACAAAACGGAGCCTATAACTTAACTGCCTCCTTTAATGTTCTTCAAAAAATATGAAACATACCCTCTCTTTTGTTGAATATCAGTTTTAATAATCAGTAATATCAATTATAAAAATATAATGTACTATAGGTTTATACAATATAGGCAAGCAATCAGTCAAATGTGCACTATCAGTGTTTGTAGTTACATTAATTGATGTATAATTTGCGCTCCGCCAAAACGCGTTACCAGAGAACAAGTAATAGATTTAAAAGACCAAAGAGTCAATAGATAGTCAAGATGACTTTAATCTATCACATTTAACAACTATAATTAGATAAAATCCAGCAGTAGATCTATGGTGAACTTTGACGTGCGCTGCTCTTACCTGGGTAGGTGGGTGTTTTGACTTCATGATGTAAGAATAGGCATTGAAGTAAATAACATTCATATTGTGACAGTTTTTTTGTAAATAGGAGAAGAACCATGCATCAAGCAAATTACTGCCAAAAAGAGAATAGTTTATTATACAAAAATCAAAGATAAACAGAAAATAGTTATGAGAAAGAAGAATAAAATAGATGACAACAAATAAAAAACATTTAAATTATATACAATTTATAATAACAAAATCCAAAAACAATAAACCCCGCAGGGGAAAAGGACAAAAGTGGCGCTGAAAGAAAAGAAAATAACAAAAACAAAAATCAAACTCAGTATAATCCTTTAACCTAACTGAAATAAAATAATCGAAAGCAAGTCTTCGGCGTTTACAAGCCCTAACTTGCCTACTCTAAACTTAACCAAACCGTAAAATACAAAGCCAGCGCTCACTCTTAAACCTGGTGTGTCTATACACACTTTAACTAAGTGATGTAAGGATGTACGTCATGTGACATCTACCTCTCCAAATCTCCCTGGGTAAAACAAAGAATATCAACAAAATTTCAAACAAACAACAAAAATAATATTAATGAAGATAAACATAATGGCAAGAACAACTTTTGACAAAGCAATATTAAGTACCACAAAAAAACAAAAGAAATAACGAGTGGCAGACTAAAACAAAGAACAAAACAGGAACGCAAAAGCCTCTGTCCGGCGTCCCACTCGTCGTCTTTTTAAAACCCTGGCAACCACTCAGATTGACTGCCGAAGCCACCACATCACTGAAGATAATGATGATTGACTGCTCCTACAGCCAATAACAATTCGAAGGGGGTTGACTCTTTAAAACTGAAAGAGAGAAGAGAGACAGAGAGAACAGGTCCGCGTGTGCGCAAGAGAGAAAAGAGAGAGACATGCATGCAAAATTCCAGGAGCGTAACAGTGGCCTTTAATTGGGCTATATTTTAGCTCCAAGCTTCATGCATGGCGAATTTGCTTGAGTCTATGTTTTGTGTTGAGCAACATTTAAATCACATCCAGATTAATTGGCCTAAATCTGACATAACAAATTAATCGAAAGTCACACTGCTTTACAAAACAAATTTCTATATCAAAATAACAAAAACTTTATATATCAAAACGTGCTTTAAATTTCATAACTATGGACACATTTTAACACATTTGTTATAATTGTTTTACCAATGATGCAGCATGGGGAAATTCCTGACTTTGCAGTAACTGAAATGTCAACACTGCACTGGTTTGCAAAAGTGCTTCACTAGCGCATATCTGCTCCAAGCGCTGTAGCTGTGCACCTCTTTTTCTGGCTCTGCACCAAAGTGGGTTGATTTTTAGCGTATGATGGAGTGATGAACTAAAGTAAACATTATAAGCACACCGATGTGATCGTATGCTTCAGGGAACAGCTGGCACTGATCACATTAGTGTAATTGTTTGCTTCAAAGGGTTAAAAGTGTGTTCATTTTTTTCTTTCTTTTATTATTCAATATTTCTCCACGTACCTCTAGATGAAAGTACCACAGTTTAAGAACCACTGCTTTAGTTTTAATAGGGCTATAAAATCAGTATCTTGTTTTATAGAGGAAAAAATATTTTCATACAAAACATTTTTTTTAAGTGTAAAATGTATTCTTTATGAAATACAAACTTAAAATAATTTGATAAAATAAAAAGTAAACTGTATAGGAAGTTTTCCCCCTCTGTTTTAAGAACAACTGTGAAACTATTGAAGTCAATATTTAAAAGGAGATTGCATCTTTGTCACCTTTTTTCTTTTTTGGAATTTGAGCTGCTATGATTTTATTGGTATCAAATGGTGTCATTCCATTATGTTTTTTTTCCCCTGTCGTCTTGATTATTTTCAGTATGCGGTCGATTCTGAGAAATCACCGTTTTCGCCGGGATGCACGGACACTGGAAGACGAGGAGGAGATGTGGTTTAATACGGATGAGGAAGACTTAGAGGATGGTGAAGCAGTTGTGCCTCCGTCGGACAAGATGAAGAATGACGAGGACCTTATGGATCCCATCAGCAAATTTATGGAGAGGAAAAAATGTATGTTACTGCTACTTACAGGATGGTGTGATGATCAGCTAGTATTGTCCTCCACTTGATTGCAAGATAATATTATGTAATGTGTGTTGTTTGTTTGATTGATAACTTTTTTGTACTTTCTCCTTCACTTTCCACAAGTGAAAGATTCAGAAGAGAAGGAGGTGTTGACAGGGAAAGCAAGTCTCTCAGGACGGCAAAGTCCCAGTTTTAAACTGTCCTTCTCCAGCTCGCCAAAGGCAAGCCTGTCCTCTCCGCCGACTGCATCCCTTCATCCCGGTTCACCTGGTTCTCCTAGCTCTCCCGGGACAGGGGCCCGGAGCTCTCCCCCTTCGGCAGCTGTCACCACTAAGGTATTTAACAAGAATTGAAAGTGCTTTAAAATTCTAGTTGTTTCCTTTTTTACTATTGTAAGACAAAGTATTTGGCAGGGTTCTAACAGGTGCTGGAATTGCTTGAATTTTAATCTACTGTTTTTTTAAAGGTTTAAAAAGTGCTTAGATTTTGGATAAAGTGCTTAAAACTGCTTAAAAAATGTAATTGCTTTTGCAATATTGTATTTTACTAAATATGTAATAATTATTAACTATTTAAATAAAATAAGCCTTTTTGCTTTTGCATAAAATGAAAACTTGCAGAAAATGTGTGTGTACTGCAGGCAAAGTTTAGGAAAAGTTTTAAAATGCACCTGCAAAAGCTTGAAAAGTTCTAAGATTTGACTTTGGAACAGATGCAAGAACCCTGACTTGGGCACCCTATTGGTATAGGCCTTTTAAGACCCCAAAGATAAAAAGAGGTTTGCAGTACATGAGCAGTGATATTCTGTTAGCAAACATCCCGTATTAAATGATTATGTAAATATGTGCTCCACCTTTTCCTCCCAATAAACAAAAATGACAGAACTTAAGAAAGCAGCTGATATTGATGTTCAATTTTGCAGTCTAGTCCACTCACATCATGTGTCTTTAAATGGCACTTTAAACTGTAGATTGAGTTTTAAACCAGTGTTAATGTTAGTGTTGTTTTTTTTTCTACTGTAAATCGGCTATTCAATGTTTGTGAACAGGAAATGAACCAGAGAAAAATTCACAGAATACTGAGAGTCTCCTACCTGCTATACAATCTCCACTGAGCATTGGTAGTTGGTAGGTGTCCCAAAAAGGATATATTTTCAAAACATTTTCTTTGGAAAACTTTTTTTTTTTTTGAGTTTCAATTGAACTCTGTTTAGGCCTAATTTTGTCTATAATGATGCCACATCAGCTTATTCCTTGAATTGGCTTGAAGCATATTATCCAATACTTAATAAAATAATAATCCAGTAAAAGTATCAATTACACTCTTTCAATTTCACTTAAGTGAAAGTACAAAAGCATGCAGTGAAAAACCCTTTTTGGATGAGTTCTTTTCCCAAGAGAGTTACGATATTGATAATGCCAGCTCACACGTTTAAAACAACAAGTATGACATTATCATAGGCTGTAAATAATGTACACCCATATTGTGACCATATCACAATCTCAATTAGTTTGCAGACAACTAACAGTAGTTGCTTAAAGTTATTTCAATAATAAATCATCAATTTGAATTAGTAAATGTTGCCTCAAGAACATACACAGTCAGATCAGTCCCGTTCATCAAAGACTCTTTAAGTGTGATTTGGAAACCATTTCGAGATGTTAACTGAGAAGAATCAGCTGATTTGTCAGTGGGTGAGCATTTCTCCAGTCTCCAGTTGTATGCTCATTTATTTACCCCACAATACATCCCTAGAATAAAAAGCTCCATGTTTAGAATGGTGCTCAATATTAATGACTTCTGCTCTGATGCTGTCACAGTAGATGCCTATTGAACTTTTTATTTATGTCTAGTAATATTCAGATTTGTATCATATGGCTCATAACAAAAAATAGTCTCAACTACCGTATCAGATGCTTGATGCTTAGTTACTTCTCATTAAGGGGTGCATAATATATCGTTTCAGCATTTTTATCACAATGTGTGAATCTGCAGTAGTCAGTTCAGAACGTTTAATTTGTGGGGTCATCGCAAAGTTTAACCACATAACATTAGTGAAAGATTTTCAGTTGGATGCGTTTGTAAGACTGATGCCCGTGTAAGATTTAAGCAAACTTAAACTAAGAGGTTATAAAGGTATATAAACATAAATGAATGAATTATACAATGAAGACTATACAGTGTTGTTTTATATTTTATTATTAAATTTCTGTACCTCAACACTCTCTTCATTTCACAGAAACCCATCAAGTTCAATTGTATTGTATTTTATGCAGATCCTCCTCTACAAAATTATCCCAATTACTGTAAAATGATGAATTTGTTCCAAATAGTTTTGTCATCTTGTGAAATTGCATTCATATCGCACCATAGATTGCAGACAAACTAAATATTGCAATGTCATGTTTTTGTCCAATATCGTGCAGCTCTACTCCTCACCACTGTCTCTTTTTACACTCATTTCTAACTGCATGCTTGTCCTCCTCCAGGGAGGTTTAGTGGGGCTGGTGGACTATCCTGATGATGACGAAGAGGACGAGGATGAGGAAGATGCAGACAGTAAAGAAGAAAGTCCTCCGCTGTCCAAGAAGTCCAAGCTGAGCTCCTAAAAGCACTCCCTCCTCAATCAGCACAGTCACGCTCGAAGGGAGCTTCATCCAGAGACTTTTCCAGTGCTCAGCCTAGAACTCAAACTGAAACTAAATGAATGATGATGAATACACAAATGAATGGATAAATGAACGAATGCAGCCCCCCGCAGGAGTCCACGGGGCGCCATGTGAGGAACGGAGGACAGGGAGAGCAAGAGAGGGAGAAGATTCGGTCCCAGAACCAAAAGGTGAATGTCTCCACGTGGAGTTTGTCCAAGTGCCAATCTGCAAGAGAGAGAGAGAGAGACTCGTGAAGCGGACAGAGGGATGGAGGACTGTGGTCTGGACAAAGAATTATAATAAAATAAGAAATTAATTTCGACAAAGCTAAAAGTTCTGGGGGGTAAAACAGACCTCACACGCAGTCCGTCAGTCAGTCGTTCACTCACAGACACTCGAACTGTTGCCCCACAGAGCGTCCCAGGCCTGGACCAGGACACACTGCCCCCCCCTCTCAGGGAAGGACCTCACATGACCCGAACTGGGCCAGCCAATCCACAACCACCACTCACCTTTGCTGATCTCCATCTCCATTTCTTTCTCTCCTTCCTCCAGCTTTTTTTTCTGTTGTTTTTTTTCCCCCTTGTTTTTGACTTTCTAGGGCCAGGCGGGACACTATAGGGAGCAAAGAAGTCTGGGTCGTCATTGTTTAAGATGTCACTGTTGTTCTTGTGGCTCAGCGGAAGTTCTTCCTCTTTCAAAGCCAGCAGTTCCCTCCTTTTTCTTATTCTGTTGTTCTCCTCTCTGGTTTTTTTAAAATGACACAAAGAGACCTGCCTTTAAATGTTCAGGACGTTTTCAGCCGCACTTGAACAGGTTTTTAAAACCTCAGTGGGGGGGAGATAGTTTTACCCTTTTTTTGCCCTTCAAAACTGCAGATTTTTTGGAAAATTTGTAAGCCCGTCTTGATTAAAGATTGAGTGGAACTCTATAGATGTGATTGATTTCTGTCATATCTTCATTTTTTTTTCTTTTCTTTTACTTGTGTACACTCTTAGTTGTTCAGTATATTTGGGACCATTAAAAGATCTTTGCTGTAGTAGATCTCTCCCGGTTGTGCTGGTTCCCTGTATTATGTTCAACTGTGCTGATCTTTTTGTTATTTGAACTGGGATTTGGTCATTGAAATGATCCTCCTGTCTGCTCGTCTGAATACGTCAATGGAGAAGCCGTGTCTCTGCTAAACAGCCTGCACACAATTAAAGATAACAGTTTTTATTTTCTGAAAAACCATGTTTCCATTTGTACTTCAAAACCATGAGGATGGAGAAATCGTGCACTAGGGGGCGTCCTGCAACAGAAATAAGACGCATGCAGGAGATGGAAAGTAATATTTTGAGGATTGCCACACAAAACATTTAAATATTTTTGATATTATTATTATTATTATTATTAATGCTACTGGTTTCTATTTTAGTGTACTTTTAAAAGTCACTGTGTGCCTGTGATTTTTTTTTTTTAGGGTCAAATCTTCTGAAGTCATTTTAATGATCTGATTTGTTTTGTAATTGGTACAGTAATAATGATGGTTATCGATATTGTGAAGTTTGTGCTCCACAATATTTTTGTGCAAACAGATACATTAGGATTCAGGAAACCTGTTGCTTTTAAAGAGATTAGTTGAGTTAAATGAGTGAACCAGGTTGTATTAAAATGATAAGTTAACTTTAAACAGTGAGTAAACCCGTGGGTTTTAAAACGATAGATTGACCTTAAGTAAATCAGGTTGTTTTAAAGCTACTAGTTATCTTAAATGTGTAAACTAGGTTGTTTTACAGTGATTAGTTGACTACTTTATGAAGTGTGTAAGCTTGTGGGTTTTAAAACGATTAGTTGACTTAAAGTGAGTAAACCTCTTGCTTTTAAAGTGATTAGTTTACTTGAATGAGTAAACCAGGTTGTTTTAAATCGATTAGTTGACTTAACTTTAGAAAGTAATTAAGCCAGTGGGTTTTAAACCGATTAGTTGGCTTCACTTAAAATGAGTAAACCTGTTGCTTTTAAAACATTTCATTGACTTAATTTTAAGGCAACAAGTTTACTCTAACTAATGTTAATTAATTATACAAATGAAGGCAACTTAGTTTTACATTAAAACAGTTTTACTCTGCTTTTTAAAGTAAAGTCAACTCGTCTTGGCTTTCGTGCAATGGGTAACTTAATCCCTTTTTATAGTGTAATCTTCAATGTACTGCCATTGGTACAATAATTAATAATGATTATCAATATTGTGAGCAGTTTGTACTGCACAATATTTTTGTGGAAACGGGTATATTAGGGTTTTGAAATTGTATGTCTGATCAATATAGCACATCCTTAAACTTATTTTTGTTATTTCTAATTTTATTTATCCTATTATATTTATCCTAAAATATTAAGTGGCAAAACCTGTTGATTGATTTAAGGATGTATTTTTATTTATAAATTACATTTTTTCAGTGCATATCTGAATGATTTCTGAAGATTATTTTAATTGAATAACGTCAAGAAATACAATGCAAGTCAAGCACAACAAATGTACAAAAATTCAAAGGCTGGGGGAGATATAAACAATATCACAGGAATACATTAAATGATGTACAGGCTTGTACATTTTGCTGTTTTTAAAAGTTTTGAGGGTGATAATAATTCAATACAGTGCTTCACTTCATTTTTAAATACAATAGAACTATGAAATTGTATGAATTCACATTTTAAAATGTAATAATTCTAAATAATGCTGCATTTGGTAATCAAATATTAATGCAATATTGCTGGGGTAGGCGATGTCTTTTAAAAAGAATAATAACATTTTAAAAAATCAAGTACCTCATGTTGTTGGCATGCTGTGAACATTTTATAACGTTTGTCCCTTAATTCTCATGTGTGAATCAAAACTTTGACTTGAAACATGTTCAGCCACCTCTCAATCATTGCCTGAATGCAATATGTTTTATCTTTGAAGAGATCATGCCCAAATAACCAACAGGCACATGTCAGTATCCTGGCACTTGATTTCCCTTTTAATTATAAATGTAACCGTGACAAATCAAGCCGCACAAATGAGTTCAGCTCATCAGCATCTGATGCCAGTCAAATCCAGCAGCGCCTGGCAGTTCCTCAAAGAAAAGCCACCGTGCCAGCATCAGTGTCTCCCTCTTCGTGTGTGGTGGTCTGTGCGCTTTATTTATTTGTTGAGAATTACTGGTCCTTTCCATTGGCACGTGGCAGTGCCAGTGGAGAGATTCTGCAGATGTGCTTTTGAAGTGAAGCCACCCAGCAGATACTGACATGGCTTTGGAAACAGAAAGGGTTGATGCTTTAACTGGTTTGTTTTCGACTGTCCTTGCTGAAAAGACTGACAAGCAGGAAAACCAGTAAGGGATTAATCTGGCTGATCTAGTTAACTAATGTGCTGTTGCAAGTTAAGAAGTCTAAGGAGGTCAATTATCTGGTTAAGTTCATGCCTGGTGACCTGTGTAAACCTGTTGCTTTAAAATAAATGAGTTAACTTTACATGAAAAAGTAAGAAAAATGTTGCTTTTAAAGCGATTAATTGACTAAAATGAGTAAACCTATGTATTTAAAATGATAATTAGACCTTAAAAGGTGAGTAGCCTGTGGGTTTTAAAACGATTAGTTGACTACTTAAAGTGAGCAAACCTGTTGCTTTAAAAGATATTAGTTGACTTTACTTAAAAAGTTAGTACCTGTTGCTTTTAAAACGATTAATTGACTTCAAGTTAAAAAATCTGTTGCTGATTAGTGACTTAAAAGAAAAAAGGGTGAAGAATAAGAAATAAACCCATCGCCTTAAAAGCAATTAGCTAACTTTAAAGGCAATTAACTTTAAAACCAATTGGTTACCTTTAAAAGTGATTAGCTAACTTTAAAAGCAATTAGCTAACTATAAAAGTAGACAGAGTAAACCCATTGCTTTTACAATGATTAGATTAGATTAGATTTAGATGATTAGTTGACTTTAAAAAAAGGTAGTAAACTTGTAGCTTTTAAGTGATTAGTTGATTTACTTAAAATAAGCCTATTTTTTATTATTATTAGTTGACTTAAACAAGTGAATAAACCTGTTGCTTTAAAAGAGATTAGCTGACTACTTGAAAATGTGAGAAACCCATTACTTTTAAAGCAACTAGTTGACTTAAATAAGTAAACCAGGTTGTTTTAAAGTGATTAGTTGACTTTAAGTTTTAAAACGATTGGTTGACTTTACTTAGGGACTAAACCTGTTACTTTAAAAGCGATTTTGACCTTACTTAATTACGTAAAAAAATGCACCTTAACAGTTCCAAGGTACAATGGGTTTATACCCACTTTTTAAAGTAAAGTCAACTTTTCTTGGCTTAGAGGCAACGGGTTACCAGCGGTGTAAGTTATTACAGTGTGATATCTGGAATCATGATGAAAACATTTGGATAGTAAATAGAATTTCATATTTCTCACATCACTTGTACAGAATGTGAATTATGACAATTTTCTAAGCTAATTCAAGCCATAAATATAAGCACAATATGTTTAAGAAATTAAATTTTTTTTACATTAAACTACATTATTACATTAAAGTGACGGTAAATACTTTTTTTACACATTAATTTAATCTAAAAATCTTTATAAACAATCAAGGTTTTAGCATTTGCGTTGAAAAAAATATGAGTTAAAATGGATCAAATATATAAAAGGTTTTCAATATTTAAATGATATGTAGGCTAACTATTTTGCGGCTGGAAGGCCATATGCTGCATAAAACATCCTAAAATAATAGGTGGTTCATTCTGCTGTGCTGACCCCTGATAATGCAGGGATTAAGTCAAAGGAAAGTGAGTAATTATATGTTGTTATGTCATGTTATGTGTTATGTTATTATGTTGGACAAACCAAACCGCTAAATATTTTTAAAAAGAATAAAAGTATGACGCACTGGTTTGGTTTGTTTTAAAAATCAAACAACTAAACCGACTAATTAGGATCTAAAGGAGCACTTGGTAATTAAAGACAGGTGTGTTTGATCAAGGTTGCAGCTGAACTCTGCAGAAAGGTATATCTTCAGGAGCAGGATTGAGCCCCCGTTTTATAATGTAGGCTACATTTAAATTCTATGGAATAGGTTTATAAAATTATGCTAAAGTGAACTATTATTTATATTCTAGATAAATTGTACACATTTAAAGCCAATATTTTATACTAGTATATGGTAACTAATTACAGCTGTTTGAAACATGACATCTTGCTTTCAAAAACTTTACGTTTAGAGCGGAGTGTTTCCTGCACTACTCGAGTCCCTCCAACAGAGGGCGCGCGGCCTCCACTCTTTTCCCCCTGTCCCACGAGAACGGCTTTTGTGACAGATTGTAGAATCGTTTAGAGGCAGTAAAGTCTGGCGAGCAGGAAATCATCCGCGTCTCTCGACGAGGTTGTCAAAACAGCCGCACAATGTGCACTTTCATGTGCACAACTGGACCCTGTCGCCCCGACCGACAATCGCTTGTGTTCGCTGCACAAAGTGGCCTCTGTGTCGGCCGGGGCTCCTCCTTTGGCCCGGCGGCCGCTGTGGAGGTGATCGGGGGCCGCGTTCAGCATAGCGTGTCTGTTTGTGTGATTAATCACCGTGTAAAACTCCAGCGTATCCGTTTCGGTGGGAGCGAGGAGCCACGGGCGCCTCTCCGTTTATGCGTCATTGTGTCTAACGGTGCCCGGTAGCCGAGAGAGAGCAGAGGGCAAAAGTTTGAGCATATGGTTGAGATTAAGGCGCTAAAGAAACTGACTGATTCACATGATTGGGATTTGTTTTATTTTGAGTTCGCCTGATTACTGAATAAACGTCTTAAAAGTGATTGATCTTTTTTTAGGGGGGAATATAGGCCTATTCACTGAAGCCTTTTGTTCGCTTTAGCATGGTCCCCCAAGCGTTACTCCACATCCAGTGATAGTTGCATCCTTCATGTGTTTATATATTTGGTCCGTTTGGTTTGCGCATGCTGCCGACGTGAATGTAGATTCTGAAAGGGATGTCATCTCTTGTAAGTTGCTATCTTCTGGAAATCATGATGCATTTTTGCAGTAAATACAGTAGCCTATGCTTTTTTCTGCAAGAGTAGAGAAAGTTTATTCAATTCAATTAATCTTTATTTCTAGATCGCTTTTACAATGTAAATTGTGTCAAAGCAGCTCAACATAGCAATTCAAGTGAATTGAAGCTCTCAGTCCAGTTTTCTGTATTATCACAATACAGAATA